CCACTACGAGAGAGCGGATCATGAGAGAGTGGATCCCAAATCCACAGACATCCCCAAAATACCCAGGAGATTATTTAAGGGGGCAGGCACCTTCAGGGGGAAGTCGTGTCCCTCTAAAAGAAAATGTGACTTCAATTTGAACCTGGGAGCTGATAACGGCTGGACACCAGGTTACCATTTCAAAGTAGTTTTTTATGAAGATGCTTCCTTGTACTTTTCCACTCATTAAGGCGAGCTCCAGCTACCAGGTTGTAGAAGAGCATAATCATCATTTCTTAGTTCCAAGTTCTCCTGGTTGTGAAACAGATACATTCTTATTCTCAGGAGGCGAGTCTAGGCAGCGTGCTATATACTGAACAAGTGCCAACTGCAGAGACTACGACTCTTCTGGTGGCTCTCCCTAATCTTGCCCACTTGTGAATTAAAGGGAAGAACCGTGTGTGTGTATGTGCACACGCACACACGGATTCTGCATATGCACGTGTGTGCGTGCACGCACTTGAGCGTGTGCACTACGGTCTATATTGAGAGGTATGGGAGGAAAAAGCGTACAATGTTAGAGAACTGTAACCTTTTTGGGGAGTTTCACATGACCGGTGAATTAGTACTTCTTTCAAATTTGTAAAACCTTAAGTTTAATTGACAAAAATTAATGAACAATGGAAGAGCCGCATAAACACTTGGAATTATTACCCAGAACATCTTGTACTTATCAATTCATGCAGGATGACCGGCTCTCTTGGAACAACTCGTTAAAGTGGAGAACTGGACTTTCGGCCCGTAATTCTTTCTGGAAGACCAGTCCTAGATGTCACTGACTAATTGGGCTAATTGGAAGAGGAAAAACTGCACAAAATGTTCCTTTAACATATACATTAATTTGCTTTTACTTTCAGCTGAGTCCTCCGTATCTAATTATGTTGATTTGTAGTTCTGAACAAATGAAAAATTCTAAGGGAAAAACATTTATAAAGGGTAATTCTAAAGGAAAATAAAGCAGAAGAGCAAGAAGGTCAAAAGGGCTATAAAATCTAACATATTATTCTTTTGACAACCTGTTTTAAGATACTCCAATCACTTAAAACTCACTAAAAATATCATCTTGAACACTCTCGGGAACTGAGAACTGCGTGTCCCAAATAATTGTCAACATGACATAGAGCTTTTGCTTTGCTGTAAGGCAGTTCCCAACTGACAAATGAGTTGTGCTCAAAAAGTTCTTTTGAAGTTAATTGTTCAGAACTCAGGCCATCTCACAGAAGAAAATCAACCCTAAATGCTTCTTGTTTTAGTTCCTCGGGCTACCGCACAGAGTACCGCAGACCGGCTGGGGGGGCTTCAACGCAGAAATGTATTGTCTCCCAGGTCTGGCAGCTAGAGGTCCAAGATCAAGGTGTTGCCAAGGGGGCTCCCACTGAGGGCTGTGAGGGAGAGTCTGCTCTGTGCCTCTCTCCTCGTGTCTGGGGGTTTGCTGGTGATCTTTGGCATTTCCTCTCTGCCTTCATCTTCACATGGTGTTCTCCCTGGGTGTATATCTATGTGTCCATATGCGGCAGAATAACTTCTCTCATTTTAAGTCCCCGAGTTTGTGGTAACTTGTCATGGCAGCCCCAGAAAACTAATACAGGGAGGTTCTTTGACTAAAGATTAAATAAGCCCAAACGAATCTAAAGACAAGGCCATTCTCTTAATTTTTTTCCCAGAGACGGATAAATCACAAATTAACACCATCCTTCTGCAGTCTCTTACCCTAAAATTAACATACTTCCAATGAAATAATATTACATTACGTAGAGAATTTGTGGAACTTTTTTTTCAATAACTAAAAAAAATGTGCTCCATGGAGGAGCGATTTTACCTATAGAATAAATTATGTTCCTAACATTTTATATACAGGCAAAACACCATGAAACCATACAAGGACTTAGACAGGAGATGTGTCAGCTGGTGGACCCCCAGCTAAGGCCCCACCACTCCCAAAGCACAAAGCACCCTCTGGCATACAACCCGCCTCTCTGAGGGTGAAACAGGGTCCAATGGAGCTGAGAAGCCGGAGAAACACCAGCCACCGACAGAACTGAACACAGAGAGAGTGGTGTGACCACCACAGTGAAAAGGAGGAGGACCCAGGGAGCCTTCGGAGAGGCAAAGGTGGCTTCCCTCAGTGAGCCAACAGGCGAGAGGGAAGGAGCAGAGGAAACCAAACCTTCCACCTGCACCGAAGCCACACTGCCATTGTGTAGCTCGTCTGGAGACAGTCCTTGCCCAAACCCTCTCCACACTCACCAGTCAGGGACACCTGAAGCTCAAGGCCCCCCAGAGAATGGGACGTAAGGGACTGTGCAGGTTCTGGGTTAATCACAGGACTCATTCAGGAAAAAATGAACTTGCCTCCAGAGGACATTCGAGAGTAGCCCCAAGTCATCATGATAAAATGATGAAGACCTGAGTTTAAATAACCATACACAAGTGGAAGGACCACCTCCAAGCATAGGTCTCTGTATTCCATGGTGAGGGAATCATCCCTTCTATGCACTTTAGAGACACAGGGAAGAAAGGCAGAGTTTCTGGAAAAATCTATTACCAAAGACTATTCTTAAATGCAAGTCACCTAAGCTGAGACTGTACTACTCTGCAGTTAGTCACTGGGGCCTTACAGAGGGAGCAAATGGTAGACCAGGTGGCCACGGAGCATGGAGAGGGTCAGCAGATCCTGAGAGAAGCCCCCCGGGCCAAAGAGGGCCAGAAGAGGAGCTCACCCCAAAACATGGAGCCATGAACTCACTGCCTGAGAAGGAACAAAACTGGAAGCCCATCCCACTGCATTGTTTGTGTGTCTCAATAAATACATGAGCAACACATACATCATACATAACATAGTATGAATGGTAGAGCTGTATTATTAATATTGAATTGTATTGTGTTTTGTGTATTAATATAACATGTAACATATTAATATATTACATATTGCATATATAAGTAATTTAATAACATATTACACATATATATGTATTGCATACCTATTAATAATTTACATGTATTGCATGCTATACTATGCTATCTCATAATTTATATATATGTATATCCATATGTCTATCCATCTCTGTCTATCTGTCTCACTCCAGAATGCAGACCTAGTTACTCTCAACACATCCTTTCATCCACCTGAAGTGCTATATGGGAGGCCCTATTCAGCTACTGTAGAGAGGGGTCCTGAGTGTGCCTGGCAGACACTGTTGTGAGGCTTACGTCAGCCTGCATGTGTGACGTGACTCACTGCTTGGTACCCGGAAATGGGAACGAACCTCATGGTTTCGGTGCCATTTCGGAGTTGGAAGCGTCTATGTTCCCTTCAGCAATTGTCCAGAGAAGTCAAGTAGCAGTCAGGAGGGTGCTGCTCACTCTGCTCACTCTCCAGATGGGTTTCTCCAACGCTTCATCACACTTGACTTTTCTTTCTTGCTCCAGTTCAGACAAGCCCTGGGGCATAAGAGGAGACAGGGATGCCTCCTCATTGCCCCACTAGGACTTTGCCTTCTCCATTTCCTCGGGGCAGTGTGGCCCACACAGGATAGGGGGCGCCATGGTGCGGATAGTCGGAGCAATAGACTGCTGCTTGCCTTCACCCCAGGAACACCTGACTGCCTTCTGCTCCCTCTGCTGGCCCGCCAGCCTGCATGACCAGACGTGGAACACTCCACCACAACTACTGGGTCTACACTGATCTCCAGTGAAAGGAAGAACAAGATCAAAGACCGCTGTGCCCACACAAACCACTTCATGTCTAGGTCAACACTCAAAGTGAAGAATTAAAAATATACACATTTCAAGAGAATGATTTCTTCCTCTCCATCTCTTCCACAGAGCTCAAATAGTTGTTTTTCTTGCATAAAATTTTTCCTAGTACTTAAAAATGATGGCGTTGTATGTAAATGGCCTAAAATTTCAGTGATCGAGGGTGTATTTATGTCTCTTGTTTAGAAATGTGATCAGTTTCCTGGCACTGAAGGAACTCAATTTACTAAAACCAGCAGAAAGCACTTATATGATAAACCTACTGTACCATTTTTCCTGGGAAACATTTGTAATCTACTCCATCAGAAATGGAGGTTTTCTATTAAAAATATATCAACACCCTCATAAAGGCCATTTTCCCCTTGCAATTTATTCTGAGTAATAACATCCAAGCCACAGATTTGTTGACAATCAGTTTTTGCTTCTCCGTGCAATTCGGTTGAAGAGTATCTGTTTCTTAGTAACAGAATGGCACCAATACAACACACCATTCAATTACCAGGTGCAGCAACACTGGCCACCCCCCAGTGCTTCCTGTTTCATGGTGACATATCTATAGAGCACCACTGGCCCCAAACCGTGAGCCTCACAAGGGCTTGCTGCTCTACTCCAAATGGGTTTAATGGACTCCAAACATGAGTAATGTAAGTACTGAACCTCAACTATGTCATGAAAAATGTCTCCTGGGCATAGATGTGTGAAAGAGTCACTTAGATGTTGATGAGGGGCACCCTCTTGATCACGTTTTTCATCACAGAAAATATTGGAAGGCATAAAACCAGTGAGTCTAGCAGCTTGAGTAAAGAAACCCAATGATAGGGATACTTGAGGCTGCCTCCCGCTTCATTCTGAAAGGTTGCTGGGATGGACTGTTGTAATTATAGCTTTTATTTCCCCCCCCCTTTTCCTTCCCCCCAATTTCTTCCAGTAACAGAACCCCTTGTGGGAAACTCTTTCCAATCAATGCATTTAAGACTCATGACTCAGGCTTGGTCCATCTAAGAAACACAAGCCCCTGACCACAGTGATTAATTACTTCAGGGACAGACAGCCACTTAGGTCACCTCCCCCAACAGGGACTTTGCTGGAAGCATCAGAAAGGAGACACTCTCTGTGCATTCCCAGCTTCATTGCTGGGAAGACGTGAGCCCAGGTGTGCTGGCAGCCACCTCTGACAACACATGGAGAACCTACCTGAGAAGGAAGAAATTTGACGAAGCAGATTCAAAAGCTAGAGAGGCAGCATCCTGATGTCACTGCATGTGCCCCTCAAACCTAGGCACCCTGGATGTAGGAAACAAATGTCAATTTGAGTTGCATTTCTGTCACTTGTAGCACAAAATATCCTCACACGGACCCTGAGTTAAAAATCATAACCTGTATCTAGGCTAAAACAAAACTCCTGTTTCTGCTACCCACCACATCTCTGACACTTAATATGCAGGTTTTACATACCAAGAAAGCCTGATACTAACTACCTGGCATTAGCACAGACCCCACAGATAAGGTCTGAGTCCCACAAGACTGCCCCCACTTCAGACACCGACCGAAAAGTCTTGGCCTCTGGTATTTATGACCAACTGAACAGCCATAAATGAAGGGTTCTCATGAACCCCTTCTCGGGTTCAATAATTTGCTAGAAACAGCTGACAGAACTCAGGAGTGTTTTACTTACTATTGGGGGCTTTATTATAAAGGATACAGATGGAAGAGACGCACAAGGCGATGTATAAGGGGAAAGCAGGGAGAGAGATTTCCATGCCCTCTCTGGGCACACCACCCTCCCAGCACTTCGATGTGCTCACCAACCCAGAAGCTTTCTGAGCCCTGTTGGTTAGGGTTTTTGTGGAGGTTCCATTATGTAGGTATGGTTGATTAAATCATTAGCCATTGGTAATTAGCTTAATCTCCAGCCCCTCTTCACTCCCTGGAGGTTGACTTCTCTGGCAACCAGCCCCCTCCTCCACAGTCACCTAATTAGCATGAACTCAAATATCATTGAAAGAGCTTTATGATGAATAACAGAAGATGCTCCTCTCACTTCTACAGGGAAATTCCAGGGGTCTTAGGAGGTCTGTGCCAAGAACTAGGGACAAAGACCAAGTACATGTTTCTTATTATGTCACAATATCACATGGGCAAATCTTGTTTTATTTTTAAAGATGATACATGTTGGTCCCGCATCGGGCTCCCTGCTCAGCAGGGAGTCTGCTTCTCCCTCTCATGCTCTCTGTCTCTCATTCTCTCTCTCTCAAATAAATAAAAATAAAATCTTAAAAAAAAAAAGATGATACATGTTGGAGCTTGGGTTGTTGGCTAAACCTTAACGCATGTAAGTAAGTGAAAACAAAGATTTGACTTTTTTCATTTTTTGTTTTTGATTTTCATTTTATCTTGTTTCACTGGTGTCTAGGAATGTTACAATATACTAGGACAAGCAACAAGTGGACATAAATTGTCTCAAAAGGCATTTCTTTAACCAAGTTCTAAGGAGGCAAGAGTTCCCAGGGATGGTGTTGGTGAACAGGATATGCGCTCTGTGTTTGGACATTTGCGTCCTTAGCCACACAATGGCCCTCTCTGCCACTGCTGTCCAAGGGCCTGAAATCTGTGGAGAATCAAGGAGGTGTTGGCTCATCATCAGAATCTGACCTTCTCAGATAAGGAAAGATGACCACCAGCTGTAGCAGAAGAGCAGTTCCTGGCATGTGAACCATGGTTCAGGGGCTATCTGGAGGCTGGTTTCTCACAACACTGCTATTAATAAGATAATTACTACATTTCCCTCTCTGACATGAATAGTTTATTTGTGGCCACTCTCCCTGAAATCTCCTAACAAGTACAACTACTCTTTCCTTTTGTTTTAAGAAAGTTAGTTGGGGGTTCTGGGGGACAGGGGTTTCAGCAAAAAATAAACTAAGAGAAATCAAATGTAGAGGCATATGTCAATTCAACAAATGTGGATTCGATGTCTCTTTCAAGAAAAACACTATGCTGGGGGAGGATGCAAGGGAGGAAGAGACACAGAGTGAGAAGTTCAGTGGGATGTAAAGGAAAGAGATTAAGCACGAGAGAGAAGACAAACACACATCTAAAAAATAAGTCAGCAAAAATATGCCATAAGAAAAACAAAAGACAGCTAAAATACGGGTAAGGTAATATTTAAGAAGGGGAAGATAGGGATTTTTCAGATGCATTTAGTTACGCATTTCCCAAAGTTTGTCCTATAAAACACTAGTCCGATTAGATGCACCTTGAAGAAAGGGTTCTATGGTCCGATATATTTTGGAGGAATGATGATTTCCATTCTGCCACTATTATAGCACATTAGAAATCCATAATATATTCTAGTTTATTAGTCTCTGGCTACTCCTACTGCAAAGAAACCTATTTAACTTTAACACAGTATTTCCCAAAGTTATCTGACTATGGAAAACTTCTGTTTTCCATGGAAAATACTCTAAAACATGCTAAGGTATATCACCTAAGAAAAGATTTGTGATTTCATTGGGCAAACCCAGACATTCCAAAAGACTGGGTTTCTTTGAAATCCTGCAGATTGTTACCTCAATTGTTGGCTACAAATTATTTAGTAAACCAGCTTTGTTCCACCAGAAAATGAATGAATGAATGAATGAATGAATGAATGAATAAGTATCATGAACTTTCCAAAGAGATGATACATATTCTTCTAAAATTTCAGATGCGTTTAAAATTTAGCAGGGGCCCTAAATAGCGAAGAATGCATACCTTCAGATTTTTGTTTAAAAAAAAGGATAAAACACACATATGTATGTATATATATATTTCATATGCATATATTTGCATATAAATATCCATGTATATTTCATCTGTCATGTGTAACAGACGTGCACACACATACATACATGGATTTATGTATATATCCCCTTTATGTGCTCACTGTGATCATTCATAAGCAGTTTCAAATTTATGTGGTTTTAAAAAAATTATTATCAAGATATGCCTTAACCCACTGTTCTTACTGTGAATGGCTAAGCCCTCATTTCAAAGAGGAGAAAGGCAGGTGGAAAGGGAGAGAGGGAAGCGTCAAATGAAAGATTGGGGGTCACCAGGAACCTTGCCTGTGTTGGTTTTGAGAACCAAAGGAAGGCCAAACATTGACATGATTCAGAAACCTGTGAGTATTTATCATTGGACAATTGTTGTACATCTGTCTGATGATGCTGTTCTCACCTCTGAACCATCTCTGATTCCACGACCCTGCTTGGAAACCCCCTGAGTGTTGGCACTTATTTAGGCTTTCCCAAAAGTACTGCCTCCATAAAGACCTCTTGCTCATCCTATCACCCGGACAGGGGGTTACTCAGAATAGCCAAGTACAGATGCTGGCCTTCCTGGGATCTTCAGACAACAAACTGATACTCTGGAGCCTGGGAAGGAGTGGGAGTCCTAATGCTCGCTCCTTCTTACCTGTAGATTAAAAGCAGAGGGGGAAATGGCCACAGTGGGGATCGAGGAATCAGGTCCTCACCTAAAACAGGATTGGAGAACAGTTTGAGCTGAGGCTCCAGTGAAGCTTCTCCCTCCCGTGCTAAACCTTGAGACTTACTCAGGGAAGTGCAGGACCACAGGCCTATCTCAGACCCTCATTACTACACAGAGAAAGTGTGAGAATGAGAGAGAAGGCACCTCCTCCTAGGGAAACCTGAAAAAGTGGGAAACAGGAAGTAGGAGAGCCGGTACCAGCCACGGCCCCAGAGCCAGAGAACTTTCCAGATACAAGCAAAGTCCTTGAACTTTGCCCTCCCCCACTCAAATGGCACAAGCATGGACGGTGGCTATCCAGTTCCCATCCTAGGCGATGCCGCTTCCCCAGGAGCCCATCAGCAGGGAGAGGGGATCCAGACTACTTCCTCAAACACCCACTCTTTGTGGGGAGCTCTCCGGAAACCCAAACAAGGGGAAAAAGCTCTCGTCATCAGCATTCATACATACATCAGCAGCACAAATGCATTAAACCTGTACCTACAGAATTTTATATTCAAAAGGACATAGCTCTACCTAACTGGCAGGAAAATGATTCAGTACTTTCATGTGGAGATGATCATCTCTAGATGGATGGATTGGGTTACTTCTTAAGAATTCTGTTTCCCTCAAACTGAGTGTTGTTGGAGTGGGGGGTGGGGTGGGAGGGATGGGGTGACTGGGTGATAGACACTGGGGAGGGTATGTGCTCTGGTAAGCGCTGTGAATTGTGCAGGACTGTTGAATCTCAGATCTGTACCTCTGAGACAAATAATGCAAGATATGTTAAGAAAAAAAAAAGAAGAAGAAGGTAGCGGGAGGGGAGGAATGAAGCAGCGGAAATCGGAGGGGTGGACGAACCATGAGAGACGATGGACACTGAAAAACAAACTGAGGGTTCTAGAGGGGAGGGGGGTGGGAGGATGGGTTGGCCTGGTGGTGGAGGAGGGCACATTCTGCATGGAGCACTGGGTGTTATGCACAAACAATGAATCATGGAACACTTCATCTAGAACTAATGATGTAATGTATGGGGATTAACATAAGAATAAAAAAAAATATGATTAACAACAACAAAAAAAAAGAATTCTGTTTCCCTGAGCCTTGCATTGAATTTCAGCTACAGTAAGTATTGGAAGATGGGTTTTTACCATAAGCAACCATAGGGCAGGGTCTCGGCTTTGTAGAACACACAACAGCATTTGCATACTACATCTAGCAAAGTGTTTTTGTAAGGTCAAGACATTTTGTGGAGTCTCTCTATGATGCAATCCGATCTTTGACTTCCTGTGAGCCCTTACATTTTGTCCCTTTTCAAGTTAGCAGGTGTTCTTTGCTTTCTTGGTGGCTTCAAGTCACATGTTTGAGATCCATTCTTCTCCCTGAAAATAATCAAGCTTCATTTCTGGGTTCCATGGGATTCAAACAGAGTATCTGAAATACATGACAGATAGGAGTTAACTTTCTCTGGATGATTTTAAAGGAAGACTTAATGAATAATAATCAACTGGAACTAATACTTGATCGATCGATGGAGGTGATAAGCAGGAACAAAGCCAGAGCACAGCCCAGAAGCCCATGCCAGGAAGAAACCTAAAACTATTGACAAAACAGATAGGAAATGTAAAACATTTTCAATCGATACCAAATTTGGCAGATGAATAAACGTCTGACTAATGCATCTTATCAGTTGTAAATCAGCTTTGAACTGCCATAAAATGTCATAAGACCATCTGAGAGGAAATTGGGGGGGCAAGCCTAAATCCCCCCCAAAAAATCATCATATTTTATGGCATTTGTACTGGAATTATTTCTAGAATAATGCAATTTCACAGTACGATTCAAACTAGGTTTTAGTCTATTGGTTTAACTGCAGCATAGCTAAAATTTAGACGTTTTTATAGTGCTCAATCCCACATAATGGTGGTTAGAACACTTAGAGAAAATTCAATTATAGTACAGGAGACTTTTGTTCCATTTTTCTTCCCTTCACAATGAACCTCATTGGGAGACCAACTACATAAATAGTAGTTTCCAAATTTCCAACCCAATGTATATAGAAACGGAGTGGTTTACTAATCCAAGAAGCAGTATCGAGGGATGCAGAGATTATTCAAGGCAGCATAAGAACATCACAAAAAAATTTAAATCTCTAACAGAGGAACTCTTGCTCAGGTTAAAATATATCCTGATCCTGGCATAGTTTTAAATATATCACATGATGAAATAATTATACACATTCCTATAAATACAGGTGGCATCAGAAAGAATCCAGAAAACACCCAGGCACGCCGAGGGCTGGAGGTCTCACCTTTTAGCTTGAAGAAACTATTCTAGGGAAGGAGCACTGGGTCCCCAGGATACTGGCACATCTGGACCCCAAGGACAGCTATGCACCTGGCAGCTAAGGGGCACCTGCGGCCCTAGAGATGGGCAACTGGCTGCTCAGTGTTTTGCTTTCTTGGAACAATAGAAAGGGATTACAGGATTATTGAGAGTTCAGTTTTAGAGATCTAATCCAAATGTCTCAGTTTGGTCCAAGAAAATGAGATCTGAAGAAATTAAATGGCTTCAGAGGGGGGAAAGATGGCGGAGGAGTAGGGGACCCTATTTCAACTGGTCCCCGGAGTTGAGCTGGATATCTACCAGACCACTCTGAGCACCCACGAAACCAGCCTGAGATGTAAGAAGATCTGGATCTCTACAAACAGAATATCGCAGGCGGTTGGTTTTGAGGTAC